CATGTCTGATGGAAATTGCGGCAGGGAATAATTATGAAGACATGCTCCTTTCTTCCTGCTCACCCCCACCCCAAATCACTCCTGACCCCACAGTAAGGAGACAATATTGAAAATACTCAAAAATAACCCCACTAAAAACATGAATCAAAAAGTCGCAGCTCATGGACATGTTTTTAAAATTGCTTAGTTGCATGCAAGTCCCTTTAGTGCTCGAAGGACTTTAATAAAATTGATTTTCTGAGTATAGCCTTTTAGCAGCTACTGTATAAGCTTGAAATATGAACCCTTCATTGTCAAAAGTGTTTCATTTTTGCCCTGTTACTAATGATGAAGGGAAAGTGTGGGTTTGGAATTCTCTGTGGCTGACATTCTCATAATTAAATAGTGTTAATAATAAAGCTTTGCAGATTTTAAACAAACTGGCACAGAGGTGGAACGGTTTGCCGTATTTCATTTAGCAACCACGGCAATTAGCCCTTAATGAATAGTACACAGCGACATATAAGGGAGTTATTTCTACACATTGTTTATTTGCCAAATCACAAAAGGCGACATTTTCATTCTGCTGATTGAAAATGATTCTCAGGATCTCTTCTGAAGGCCTCTTAAGTAATTGCATTGTGAAACTTAAATAAATAAATAAAAATAAAGAGAGGAACGTTAATTGCTTTTAATATCTACTGTCTAATTTCAGCTTAGCACACTAAGAGCTCTGAATCTCAAGCTCTACAACAATGGATCAAAAATAGAAGGCTCATCATGGTTGATATATTTAGAGGCTGATGTTTTTGTTTTATAATTTTAGGAGAGATTTTGTTTCCAAGCACATTGTTAGTCGTCTCTGTGAACTGGTATGGGGGTGTTTTTAGAGCAGATCCTGGGTGGGGTGACTGTGAAGTTGTTGCCAAAGGAAAATGGCAATGCTTATCTGAAGGTGAGACAAGAGAAAGAACTGTTCAGCTGTCAAGGTCGTGAATGACAAAGGAAGGGTTATCCTTGTAGAGCCTGCCCTGAGGCTTCTAAAGAGCAGGATAAATTATTTTTTTTAAGGTAGGTGGGCTCTAGGCCTATTTTTACACACTTGAAAATAGTATTTCTTATCTTTGAGATTTAGTGATCTCTTCTGCAGTGAAGGAAGGAGAGAGAAGAAATAGTGACTTAGCTAGACAAATCCTAAAGTCACCTCAGTGCTGTGGAACACACAGATTTCCCATTTCTGTATGGGATTTACTGAATTGGAATTTCTGAGGAAAGGGCTTAGGAATTGTGCCCTTTGAGAAAATGATTATGAGTATCTGGTAAACTTGCTAAATACTTACTAACGGAACCTTTGGGCCCTTCAATTCCATGACTGTGGACAGAGGCAGGGCCAGCCATACTTTGAAGCAGAGCGTTGTGGGAGATAACAGGTGCTGCCTGGAGGGGTGGTCACTTGAAATACGCACAGGCCCCCAGCCTAAGTGATCTCTTCCAACCAGTCTGACACAGTGCTGTAAAGGTCCCCAACAAGGGACAATGCCACTCAAATGAGCAAGGGTTGTAAATAGCAGGACTGAGGAATGGTACATTTAAAAATAATAATAAAGCTGCATGGAAAGTCAACTAAGGACAAGAGGGGGTTAAGGTGCCACAGAGACTCCCATGGAGGGATCAGTGCTTAATACAGTACAGCACAATGACAGGTGAATGAACAATCAGAAATCACAATTGCACTCTTTACTGTGCTATTAATTACTGAGTAATGCTGGGGATCTGTCTCCTTTCTGGGTCTCAGCTTCCCCAGCTAGAGGATGAAGCGGTTGAAGTAGGTCCCTAGGGCCCCTTCAGGCTCTGCTATTACAGTTCACAGGGCCTGGCAACTTTGCAGAGGGCTCATCCTGGCTTCTGCTTTGGGCCATCTAGCCTAATTCTGCTTGGGAATAAGAGCCTTGGTAAAGCACGTTTCTTTGGCCTTCTAGTGAATTCCAGGAGGGGTAAACAGGAGTGAGCCAACTCCAAAGTGGTCAATGCTAAGCTTACCTCCAGGGGTTTTAGGAATTAGACGGTTTTTAAAACTGATAAATAAAGTAAGATTTTTTAAAAATATACTGGCCTCTCCAAATAAAGAAAAATTCAAAACAATCTAATATAAATACCTCTCATTAGAAACAATCTACTTTTTAAATTTTTTAATCTTGTACTACCATTTAACCTTTTTCTAACCCTCTTGCAAACTCATTAGTAGGACATGGTTCATATAACCCAGAGCACCTAGCACAGCAGGTGCTCAACATGTGTCAAGTGAACTAATTGAAAATATTAGTAATTTATTTGGTGTTTCACTGTGCTAAATGTTTTCCATGCATTTTATAATTTAATATGTACAATAATTCTTTCAGGTAGGATTACGGGGTGAGTGGTCTTATTGTCCCATTCTTCAGATGAGCAAATTTAAGATAAAAGAACTTAAGTAACTTCCAAGGGTTACACTCACAATGAATGACAGAGCTGTGAACCAAATTCAGGCACATTCAATCCTAAGCACATTCTCTTAATGACTGGGTGCTGTGGTCAATTCATAACATCATAAAACCTTAGGAATCAAAGGGAACTTTGGAAATCAACTGGTTCAAACACTTTATTGAACAGAAAAGCAACTGAGCACACTGCCTCATTCTAAGCCATGCAGGGAGTCAGCAGAAAATCCAGAACCAGACTTAAATCCCTCCCAGGCCAGTCCAGGGCCTTCTCAGAATCTCAAACCAGGCAGTAAATCTTTCAGTCTGCAAAGGAAAGGCAAATATAAGGAATAGACTGAAAAACTGAAAGTCGGAAGAATTCACGGAGGCCACTTGGAATTCCTTCAGCAAATTCGCCCTAAGACAAACATACCAGGAGGCCTAGGTGGAATGAATCACACTCAACTCCAGCTTGCCCTGTCCATAAATAGCTGAACAACCACCAGAGAACTCAGACCCAACTGATGCCCCATGTTTCAACGCTAATATCCTAGAGGAGACTTCTTCCACCTCCAGTAGGATCTAGAAGTGAGCTTGAGTTAACTTGAGCCTATTCTGTAAGCATTGGAGCCAATCATAACATCACATTCCCCTGACCTTCTGTGATTGGTTCAGACAGATTTGACCCAGGGTAGTACCAAATATAAGTGGAGTCATTCCATATTTGTCATTATGTGACTGGCTTGTTTCACTTAGCCTAATGTTCTCAAGGTCAACCACGTAGAAACATGTGTTAGAATTTCCTTCTTTTTAAAGTCTAAATACTATTCCATTCTATGTATATACTACATTTTATTTATCACTGTTTGTTGACAGATTCATGAGTTGTTTCCTGCTTTGGGCTATTGTGAATAATATTGTGGTTGAACATGAGTGTATGGTTTGGCTGTGTCCCTACCCAAATCTCATCTTGAATTCCCACATGTTGGGGGAGGGACCTGGTGGGGAGGTAACTGGGTCCTGGGGGAAAGTCCTTCCCATGGTGTTGTTCTCCTGGTGGTGGATGGGTCTCATGAAATCGGATAGTATTATAAGGGGGAGTTTCCCTGCACAAGTTCTTTCTCTTTGCCTGCTGCCATCCATGTAAGATGTGGCTTGCTCCTCCTTGCCTTCTGCCATGATTGTAGGGCCTCTGTAGCCATGTGGAACTGTAAGTCCATTAAACCTTTTTCCTTTGTAAATTATCCAGTTTGGGGTATGTCTTTATTAGCAGTGTGTAAATGGACTAATACAGTGTGCAAATACTTCTTGGAGTCCCTGGTCTCCACTCTTTTGGATACTTACCCAGAAGTGGAATTGCTAGATCATAAAGTAATTGCATTTTTAATTTTAGGGGGAAACGCCATACTGTTTTCCATAGCAGCTGCACCAATGTACATTTCCCCCAGCGAGGGTTCTAATTTATCTATATCCTAGCCAAGACATGTCATTTTCTGAGCTTTTTGGCTTTTCTTGATACTAAGCATCCTAATGTGTGTAAAGTGGCATCTCATATGGTTTTAATTTGCATTTCCCTAATGATTAGGGATGTTGAGCTTCTTTTTATGTGTATATTAACCATTTGTATATCTTTTTTGAAGAAATGTCTGTTCAGGTCCTGTGCTAATTTTTGTATCTGGCTGTTTGTTTATTGTTGTTGAGGTGTAGGAGTTCTTTATATATTCTGAATATTAATTCCTTATCAAATGCATAATTTATAAATACAGTCTCACATTCCATAGGTTGCCTTTTCACTTTGTTGTTTGTGTCTTTTGATGCACAAAAGTTTTAAATTTTGATTTAATCCAACTTTTCTATTGTTTCTTTTGTTACCTAAGCTTTTGGTGTTATATCTAAGAAATCATTGCCTGAATGATTTTGATGCAGCCAAATTTGGAAACCTTTAATATTGTCCATAGTTTAAATCTTTTTTTTTTTAATAAAAATGAGTGTAATAACACTTTCCCCCTTAATTTTTCCAAACCAAAGCTCACGCAGAGAACCTATCAGTGACAGAACGAAGAACAATTTGGATGAATGATTCCCTTTCCTCCATGTACCACTGATCTATCAATATTTGCAGAAGTAGCTCCTGAAGAACCTTCACAAGTTTGAGAAGAAGCATTACTCTAACTCCTCACCTTTTAAAATGGGGACGCTGAGTACTAGGGAAGGAAGATGTGTTTCTAGCGATGGACAGCATCTCTGTTGCCTGCTACTTAACCCTATGTCTAGAGGCAGCCCAGAGGATCTATGGAGCTGTCCAGAGGCCATTAGTAGCCATGGTTGATGTGAGAACTTCTTGGATTCACAGCAGGTCAGAATGACTTGTTAGCAGAAAGATCAGTGGAGAAGGTATTTCTCTGTGTGCTATGCTCTGAATGTTCGTTTCCCCCCGAAATCCCTATGTTGAAATTCTGAGCCCCTCAATGTGATGATATGTAGAGGTGGGGCTTTTGAGAGGTAATTAGGTCATGAAGGCAGAGCCCTTATGAGTAGAATTAGTGCCCTTACAAGAGACAAAGAGACAGAAGAGCACACAATCTCTCTCTCCCTGCCATGTGAGGATACAAGAAGACAGCCATCTGCAAACCAGGACAAGGGCCCTTATCAGACACCAGACCTTCCAACACTCTAGTGTTGGACTTAGCCTCCAGAAAAGTAAGAAACAAATGTTTGGTTTTTTTTCGAGCAACTCAGTCTACAGTAATTTGTTATAGCAGCCTTGAAATGACTAAAACAGTGCATGTGGTTATCATTAGAATAAAAGCACAATGCTAGCAGGAAATATCACTGACACTACCTACTGTTAATATTTCCATCACAGTACCATCTGTCGATAACAAGGTGAGAAAACATGTTTTCTATTTTTTAAAGAAAAGAAAAAGCACTCAAGTTTAACTAGGTAATTAATTAATTCACAAGTGAATCCAAAGTGGGAGTGATTACTAAACAATGACTAATGATAAAGAATAAACCCTAAGGTAAGTGATGATCAAGGAGATGAAACAGTTTTAGTTTAGAGTCCTATTACAATTCTATTTCAATATAAATAAGCTGACACCAGAAGCAAACAATTAACCCCAAAGCCACTGGCTGTTCATTAGCTAAGGAATAATTTTACATTTCATTATTATTCATGTTGGCTAAATTTCCATTAAAACCAATTTAGTAAACTGGCCCTCTGATGGGCTTGAAATTAATAGGAGGAAGGGGAGGCAGAGAGGGAACCAAACAGAGGCCATTATTTAAGCATCTAGGGACAGGAAAACTCATGGGGGCAGATTGCCACTTTAATTAAAGATAATGTCTCAATTCACTTTCAAAATAAGTATCTGGAAAATGTCTGGGAAATTTTCCCTGGCCAGGGTGTCTGGCTTACTCACCAAGTGGATGATTTCTGCTGCTGGAATTTCTGATTGAGTGGAGAAATGGCCCGCTCAATCTTGGGTCACCCTCCCCACATCCCCAGCTCTCTGCAGCACAGTCTCCAGTGCGGAGGAAAGACACTTGGAGCTTCTAAAATAGTCCCACAGCCTGGGCGTGAAAGCCACTGTTTCATTCTTTGGTCCAATAGGCAGGCTTAATGACTTTTATTTAACATGTAAATGTGACTGTAATACCAGTGCCTAATTAGCTCATATTTAAGGAACTTTCACTTTGGCCAAGCAGTATAATAAGAGCTTTCTTCTTGTTTTTTTTTTTTTTTAAAGACGGGGTTTCACCGTATTGGTCAGGCTGGTCTTGAACTTCCGACCTCAGGCGATCCACCCGTCTCAGCCTCCCAAAGTGCTGGGATTACAGGCGTGAGCCACCGCACCTGGCAGAACGTTCATGAACCAACTCCTTTAATAGTCTCAATCCTTCTAATGAGGTGGAGTCTATTTTTCCCCCCATTTATTTATTTTATTGCATTTTAGGTTTTGGGGTACATGTGAAGAACATGCAAAATTGTTGCATAGGAACACACATGGCAGTGTGATTTGCTGCCTTCCTCCCCATCACCTACATCTGGCATTTCTCCCCTTGCTATCTCTCCCCAGCTTCCCACCCCCCACCGTCCCTCCCCTATTTCCCCCCAACTGACCCCAGTGTGTAGTGCTCCCCTCCCTGTGTCCATGTGTTCTCATTGTTCAACACCCACCTATGAGTGAGAACATGCGGTGTTTGATCTTCTGCTCTTTTGTCAGTTTGCTGAGAATGATGGTTTCCAGGTTCATCCATGTCCCTACAAAGGACCCAAACTCATCGTTTTTGATGGCTGCATAATATTCCATGGTGTGTATGTGCCACATTTTCCCTATCCAGTCTATCATCGATGGGCATTTGGGTTGGTTCCAGGTCTTTGCTATTGTAAACAGTGCTGCAATGAACATTCGTGTGCACGTGTCCTTATAGTAGAACTATTTGTAATCCTTTGGATATATACCAAGTAATGGGATTGCTGGGTCAAATGGAATTTCTATTTCTAGGTCCTTGAGGAATCGCCACACTGTCTTCCACAGTGGTTGAACTAATTTACACTCCCACCAACAGTGTAAAAGTGTTCCTATTTCTCTACATCCTCTCCAGCATCTGTTGTCTCCAGATTTGTTAATGATCGCCATTCTAACTGGCGTGAGATGGTATCTCAATGTAGTTTTGATTTGCATTTCTCTGATGACCAGTGATGATGAGCATTTTTTCATATGTTTGTTGGCCTCACGTATGTCTTCTTTTGTAAAGTGTCTGTTCATATCCTTTGCTCACTTTTGAATGGGCTTGTTAATTTTTTTCTTATAAATCTGTTTTAGTTCTTTGTAAATTCTGGATATCAGTCCTTTGTTAGATGGGTAAACTGCAAAAATTTTTTCCCAATCTGTTGGTTGCCGATTCACTCTAATGATTGTTTCTTTTGCTGTGCAGAAGCTGTGGAGTTTGATTAGGTCCCATTTGTCTATTTTGGCTTTTGTTGTCAATGCTTTTGGTGTTTTGGTCATGAAGTCCTTGCCTACACCTACATCCTGAATGGTTTTGCCTAGATTTTCTTCTAGGGTTTTTATGGTGTTAGGTCTTATGTTTAAGTCTTTAATCCATCTGGAGTTAATTTTAGTGTAAGGTGTCAGGAAGGGGTCCAGTTTCTGCTTTCTGCACATGGCTAGCCAGCTTTCCCAACACCATTTATTGAACAGGGAATCCTTTCCCCATTGCTTGTTTTTGTCTGGTTTGTCAAAGATCAGATGGTGGTAGATATGCTGTGTTGCCTCCGAGACCTCTGTTCTGTTCCATTGGTCTATATCTCTGTTTTGGTACCAGGTGGAGTCTATTATTATCTCCATTTTACAGTTGAGAAAGCTGAGGCACACAGAGAGGGGGAGCAATTGACTTTCCACAGCCAAGGTGGCACAGAGCTGGGATTTGAACCCGTGTCATTGACTCTAGACCTGTGTGCATAACCGCTAGGCTATGCTGCCTCTGGTAAAAATAACAAAACAGCTGAGGGTTTTTTTGGAAGTATCCAAATCAACAGAGCATAAATTACCTGGTCAGTTGTTTGTGGTAGAACAATGTGTGAAGGGCTTTGAATGACAGGGCAAGAGCTTTGACCTTGACTCTTTGGAGCTTCCCAGAGTGCAGTGTCCAGTCCCCTTGGGATCCATGAATAGAATTCAAAACAATATTTAGTAATTATATTATTTTAAGGTTTATTATAAGTGAATTTAACTTGCATATATCATATAACTGGGTAAAAAAGATAATTCTCTTTTAAGAAAGAAATAATTTTTAACACTTCCATATAATCTTATGTATCAGGCATTGTTCTAAATATTCTGCTTTTTAACCCTTAATCATTATAATAAGGCTGCATGGCAGGTGGTATTGTTTACTTTGCTTACAAATAAGAAAACTGAGGCACAGAGATTAACTTGTGCTAGATCTCACAGCCAGCAGACAGCAGAGCAGAGTTTTGAACCTAGACATTTGTTTCCAGACTCTGTGCCCTTAACAATTATGCTAAGTGATTAGGAGGAATGGAGGATACGATATGGCTGAAATCACTGTGGTGGCTGACTCAGGTTGGCACCTGCTGTGGGGGTGGAGCCTATCATGTGCTCTTCACAAGGACTGCTGAGGGAGGTTGCCCTGAAGCCAGCTCATGACCATACGAGGGGCATTGGCAGCAAAGCAACACTTCTTAGCCAGCACGGCAGGGTTCCCAGCACATTTCAAGAATCAGTTGTCCACAACAGAAATGAACCCAGCCCTTGGTGTCCAAAATCACCTTTAGGGGAAGTAGAGCTTTTTCCTTCATGTACCTGGACAAGTAGTTTACTTTCTCTGGAAGCTGGAAGCCCCATGGACTGCCCAGCCCAGATGCTGTGGAATGTGGCAGAGAAAGAGGGTGAGTGGGTCTGTATGTCTCCCATGTTGGGAGTATTATGCAAACAAGTGAGAAATAACTATGCTTCATCTCCTGGCCTACAGGAGCCCTTGAAATCCTGCTCATCTGCAATCCCTAGGGCTGGACTCTGTATCAGAGAAGTGGATACTCCATCTTCATCGAGAACCCAATGACAGGTGAGTTTCCTACTTGGGCCACCGTTACCTAGGATCCCCACTTCCTAGGATCCCCGTTACCTATGATCAACCCACCTGCTTTCCTGTAAACCCCACAAAAGGAGAGGCTCTGTCCTTCGTACTTCCTGGTCCTGTGTTGTCACTGAGCATCTGATGCCTGATCCAGAAGAACACAGTGACCACCAGCCCAGACTCAGTCACTAAAAGGACGTAGGTTCCAATTCCTACTTTCCCAGCTTCCTACTAAATGGCCTTGGGCAAGCCCCATGAACTTCCTGTGCTTATTTTCTTCATCTGTAAGGGATGACAGTAGAACTACCTCACATGGATGTTGTGAGGGTTAATGAAATAATGTATGTAAAATATTTCACCCAGTACTGGACACACATTGAAAGCTAGATAAGTAACAGCCATGACCCCTGACACTATTCATACAAGCTTCAAGTTTGATGGCCGAGATCTGGAGTTTGGAAACTTGCAAGCCTAATTTACAAGGCTACCACCCCTGCCTGTGTTGGGTTCGGCATCCAGCAGCTACTGCAACCTTCCAGACTTGATGCCATCTTTGCTTTACTAGATCAGCTTTCCCTTTCTGGCCTCGACAAGTCTTTACTTCTTTACCTAACGGGAGGCCACAAGGAGCAATTCTTTGCAAGGAAAGGGGCAGATATCCTTAGAAAGGCATCTAAAACGCTGCCATTTGCAGTGCCGAGAGAAGGCCATAGACAGTCTCTCAATGACACATGCACAAAAGCTCTTGTTGTGGACACAAATAAGAAAAGTTGAACCCCTTGCCCGACGTAATTCACTTCATTTATTGACCTGAGTTCTCTCCCTGCAACCCTCGATTCCTTTGCATTTGTCAGCGGTTCAGAGACCCCTGGCATTCAACATGATTTGTAATGTAAATTATATAATTGTACTTTCACATATTTTAACATCAAATGAAATGATTGACTACAGAATCGGAGCTGTCTACAGGTGGGGGCCAATTACCATCTGAATAATCACAGTGCCACACAAGAATAGCATAGCCGCTGAGCGTGACATATTTTTATCTCTATGCATTTCAATGAAGTCAGGCTGGTACATAAAAGGTTATCACCTAGGAAACATATTTTCCTAAGCACAAGTTAAACATGCAAGTGAGATCAGCAAAGATATTCAATTTAGCCAGTCAACCCTAACCTATTAATATTTTAACAAAATCCAGTGAGGATAATTTTTTTCTTTGATCCCATTTCATGTGAGCAGCCGGGAAAGGGAAGAAAAATTAAAAACAAAATAGTCAAGCATACAGAATGAGGTTATGTATTAAGTGGGCTATTTAATGTTTCTGGCATTTCATAGCCCAGGGGAAAGTGTGGATGGATTTAACAATCAAGTCCTGTGTTCCCTTGGCCACAAAGTTCGAGAAACATAAAATAATCTATACTTCCAAGCTGACAAATCGTACCTGACACCCAGCTTCATCTCACCGGGACTCCTGAGATCAGTATTAATCATATGTTACAGGGAGTAAAAAGAAAAGTAAATCACACTACGCTGAAAAGTGAGATGGAAGGTCTTCGGGCAAGGATTTTAATCAATAATATGTGGGATGATAACCAGAAGCTATTGTTTTAATCTTCCAATATGAAAAGAAATAAATGCAAAACACAAAGCTACCAGGAGCCAAGCGGCTTCCATGATGCCTTGTAAGAACCAAAAAGAGTTTGGCAGCTCAACTTTCTAGTTTAATTCATGACAACAAACATGCAATTTCTTTGTAAAGAGATACAGTCAGGAGTGTTCTTTATGTTTCCTGTTTCTGGAGCCTTAGCTCTTGCTCGGGTCTCAGGACATGGGTACTGGATTACTCAGTTTTCCTCGTATTGGTTTTTCCATGTTTTGCACGTCTGACATCTATTCACACTGTTTCTTCCACCATCACTTCCTTTCTCCAGCCCCACCATCAGTCTTTGTGGGCCGTGTTGACTTTACTAATGGTTCCAGAGAAAAATGGGTAGCACGGTGATTAGATCAGGAATGGAGATGTGATGTATTTGAGCCTTGAAAAGGCAGGCGTGGCAGTTCATGACAGTACTGTCATAAAAGAGGCTGTCATGGTTTGAGGCTGTGTCCCCACAAATTCATACGTTGAAGTCCTGACCCCCACTGCTTCACAATGTGACTTTATTTAGAAAGAGGGTCATTACTCATGGGATTCGTTAAGATGAAGTCACACTGGAGTAGGGTAGACCCCTAATCCAATATGACTGGTGCCTTTATTAAAAGGGGAAATTTGGACAAAAACAGATGTGCACACAGAGAGAATGCCATATGAAAATGAAGGCAGAGATTGAGGTGATACTTCTATAAGCCAAGGAATATCGGAGACTTCCAGGAATACCAGAGACTTCCAACAAATCACCAGAAGCCAGGGAAGAACAAAATAGCTCCCTCCTCACAGCCCTCAGAAGAAACCTACCCTGCTGATAACCTTGATCTCAGACTTCCAGCCTTTAGAACTGTAAGACAATCCATTTCTGTTCATTAAGCCACTCAAAGTGTGATACTTTGTTACAACAGCACTAGCAAACTAACACAGAGGCCCACTGTCTTTTATTATCATGTACTTAGAACCTTGATTTCAGCTTGACATGGCTCGGATTTATCTTGCCTGCAAATGGTGCCAACGCATTAGAAAGTTGAGCAAATACCTATGTAGCTGCCTACCTCATGCGGATGTTGTTCAAACTCCTGGATCCAGCCATACCTGAAGTTCTGTCCCTGACTTTGAAGTTATGTGATCTATTAAATTCCCACTTTTACTTAAACTGGTTAGAATTGTGTGTTTGTCACTTGGAACCAAAAGAACCCTAAATGATTTATTCTGAAAGCAGCCAATGAGATCTTAGGATGAACTGACAGACATGAAGTCTTTGGAACAAAGAACATGATTGTATTAATCAGACCACAGGAAGGTTGCATTCAGTTTGAGGCAACGTATGTTTAAGAGGAAGATGGGCAGTTCTGAACAGAATGATTAGATGGTAAGAGAAACGGACACCGAATCACAGGAGACATGAGAGATACTTGTCTTATTGAAGAAAAGGGGTGTATAGAAAACATAGATGGCCTCAAATATCTACAAGAACGGCAATCTGAGGAAGGATCAGGATTTATTTGTGCAACCTCCAAGGATAAAACTAGGAAACAATGGAAACACATATTTAAAGCAGAGTGATTATCTAATGCTCCCAGCAATTAGAAGAAGGAATGAAAAGCCCCTGAAAGCAGCAAGTCCTTGGATTTGGGAGGTGCTTTTACAGCAGAAGGGACTCTATGATTGACTGGATGACTTTAAGTCCCCTTCCAGCTTGGATGTTTAGTTTTATAATTCTTTTACCAAATCCAACATTCTTCTGGCTGAAGCACACCATTATTCTATGATTCCAACTCAGTTCTTTCCACCTCAACTTCTTTCCAGACTCTTGAGAATTCTTGCACTTGCTCAGAACATGCAATGTCATACCACTAATCTTTGATTTACAGAATGGCTAACACTGTAGATGTGGGACACTTGGTGGCACAGATCATGTGAAGAAGGGATCAAATGCTATTTTTTTCCCCTAGCTTTAATTAAATGACCTATTCCACAGCAGAGAGTTGATGGATGATATTAACCTGATGTAAACAATCAATCTGGTTATAGATTTTTTTAATAGATGGCTCACGTTAGACACACACTATATTTTCCTGAGCTATTTGAGGTATGTGAAGACACACACTATGCTTGAAATCAAGTGTCCAGTTAAGGTATAAACTAGATAAAAGCTTAAAATTGCATCAAAAGCCCTCTCTAGTCTTTCCTTGAAAGAACTTGAGACTTTGGGACATTCGTATATGTTATAGCTCCAGGTGACCACCTTAATTTCTACTATTAGCATTTGTAACAGCTTGTCAAATCTCCAGACACCCTTCTGATGACGCAGCCCAGGGGTTGATGTTACAGAGAAGCCTGGGCAACATAAGAGAAAACATTCTAGTTTTGCCCAGCATGGATGTGGACTGGGCCAACAGAGGAAAGAAATCTCTGTTTATAATCAGAGAAGGAATCGGGAGCCGATGATGGGAGAGTTTCCATCCTCTGTGCTGGAAGGAAACCCTGACTATGCTCAGCAAATAAGTTCCCAGCCATTTCAAAGAGGCTGCACGTGGCTCTCCACGATTTTAGCATCCACTTATTGCCTTGGCCTGATTAAGTTCTTCCTTGATGCTAAATTATTCTCCAAGTCAACAATCTTTAAAAAAAAAAAAAAAAAAAACCCGTAATCTTTAAAACTCGTCCCCAACACAAACAGGAAAGCAGCCTGTTAAGAACATCTATAAATTGACATTATTTTGAGGGCTTTGCCTACTACAATGAGTAAATCCATTTCTCAGGTGGGAAGAATTCTTAGAGTCTGAGGAAGTTACAACATTGTCCCTTCAAAAAAGAGTAACTGCTTATGAAAATGAATCTCTTGATCTTACATCCTCGGAGTCTTTCACCTTTAAGTAATCTTATAGCTGAGAATTCATCAGATTAAAAAAACAAAAAGAAGCCAGGCACAGTGGCTCACGCCTAAATCCCAGCACTTTGGGAGGCTGACGTGTGCAGATCACTTGATGTCAAGAGCTCAAGACCACCCTGGCCAACATGGTGAAACTCCATGTCTATTAAAAATACAAAAAGTAGCTGCGTGTTGTGGTGCATGCCTGTAATCTCAGCTACTCGGGAGGCTAAGGTAGGAGAATCATTTGAACGGGGAGAAGGAGGTTGCAGTGAGCCAAGATCATACCACTGCCCTCCAGCCTGGGCAACACAGCGAGACTCCATCTCAAAAAACAGAGGAGGAAGAAGGAGGAGGAGGAAGAGGAGGAGGAGGAGGAGGAAGAAGGAGGAGGAGGAGGAGGAGGAGGAGGAGGAGGAGAAGGAGGAGGAGGAGGAGGAGGAGGAGGAGGAAAAGGAGAGGAGGAGACTAGAAAATAAACTCCCAAGGTCCCTCAGGTCTGCATGGAGGGTCTTAGGTTTGCAAAGCACATGTGCACCCAAGATCACCGGAGTCTCCCCACACTCTGGTGAGGAAAGTAAGCCTGGAATTATGATTTTCAGTTTCCAGGTGGGAAAATTGTGGTTCTAAGAAGGTAAGTGTCTCAGAGTTCCCTCAAGGCCGCCAAGCCAGTAATGCACCGCCTGGGCTGGAACTCAGCTTTTCCCGACTCCATTTCCACTAGGATCAGCTGCCTTTGAATGCCATTAAGAGCAATAGGTAGAGTTGGTCCTTGGACAACACAGGTTTGAACTGTGCAGCTCCGCACTATTCGGCTTTTCATCTACCCTTGCTACTCCCGAGACCCAAGACCAACCCCTCCTCTTCCTCCTCCTCAGCCTACTCAATGCGAAGATAAGAATGAAGATGCTTATCTTTATAATGATCCATTTTCACTTCATGAATAATAAATATATTTCTCTTCCTTACGATTCTTGATAACATTTTCTTTTCTCTGCTTTGCTTTATTTTAAAAACACAGCGTATAATACATATACATGCAAAATACATGTTAATTGGGTGTTGATGTTAGCTGTAAGCCTTCCGGTCAGCAGTAGGCTATTATTAGCTGAGTTTTGGGGGAGTCAAAAGTTATACACTGATCTTTAACTGCATGGGTGGTCAGTGCCTCTAATTCCTGCATTGTTCAAGGAAAAACTGTAATGGAAAGACAAATATTTCCTGATTTAGACACCTCTTTGCCAGTTCCTTAGAACAGAGGTTCTCAAAGTGTGGTCCCTGGACCAGCAACATTAATATCATCTGGGAACTCACAAGAAATGCAAATTCTGGGGCCTATCCTAGACCTTCTGACTCAAAATCAGGAGGCAGGGCCAGAAACCTGGATTTTAAAGTCCTCCAGGTGATTCTGATGTATGCTCAAATTTCAGAACCGCTGCCTTAAGAGGTGGTGGTATTTGGTGAATTTGAGTGAAAGGCTACTGGCAGATATACACACCCAAAATACAAACTCATCACCTCTGAATTCCATTTAGCGAAGGTCAGGGTCCAAAGCTCTAAAATGCTTATTACTATTCAAAGCCACTTTGGATGGCTCTGAGAACAGACTAGACTCACTCACACACACATACAGGCCTGGCACCAAATTCTCTGCTGGTCACTCACCATTGATGCAGAATCCAGCCAGGCTCAGCAGTGCAGCTGATTATATTCTGACCAGTTACTTTAATCGTGTAATCTTTGGAAAACAACGAGCCAAAGTCTCCGGATGTCTGGGGTATGCAGAGGAGGCCTGTGGGCTTCTAGTGTCGTCTGCATATTGCTGGGCTCGGATTTAAGCATTCTGTTCAGGGACAGATTAATATGCAAAGAAAACAAACATCACCAGAAAGATGGAAACTACAAAGAGTCAGTGATTATTAAAGCTGGGATACCAAGAACCAACTATTTTTCCCACCCTCTAATGGACTCTGGAGCCCACCCAAAAGCAGTCGATGGCTCCCATAGAAAGAATTCAGCCTCCCAAGCTCTCTTGGCTCTCCTGTGATGCAATGGTTCAACACAGAATATCTGTCTACAAGGCCTACTGCCACTGATGATGCTAGAAAAAGAAGCAGACAAAAAGAAGAAAAATCACAATGTCTTCAAAAGCCAGGAGAGTTTAGGACAAAGTTGAAAATTATGTGCAATGATAAAAACCAATGATCTTTGCGAACAGGTAGTTCTCAGGCTAATCTTGGCCTACAGGAGGGTTTTGTTTAATCGATACTTGTCCCAGTTCAACAGTCTTGTTTTTAAAGGTGAATTTGTTGCCACTAAACAAAAATCAGAAAATCTCATACAAAAATACTGGATTGTCCTTGCCCCAAAGCATACCAGACAATCTAGCCACACCGAGTCCGCTTCCTCATGGGGCAGTCGTGTCCCAGTCCCCATTCCAGACAGCCGCTCTCATTTGATACCCACCTGACCTCACTAAACATTTGATTTTTCAAGTCCTAAATTAAGCAAATCCTAAGTTTATACAATTTAGTATCAAAACCCAAATGATTTCAGTTCTAGGCTAACATAGAACTGTTGACTCCTGGGCAGTTGCTTTCCAATGAGCAATTGGCAGAGACATTGATAGGAAATGAGAATCTTTAGAAGACAAGTCACAGAGAAGTCTAAAATCGATGACCCAGTAAGTGTTCACATTCTCTGCCAATAAAATCAAATGGAAAATGTGATAATCTATAAGATTACAGTAATTAAGAAAAGCTAATCAAATTACTTAAATTTTTAATATTCACGTATGTCTTTATTGTCTGCCCCTTCTTGTGGATCATAAGCCCCATGGGGCAGGGACTTTTTTCTAGTCTTTGTCATATGCCCAATACTTAAAATAATGCCTGTAGGCACTTGTCAGATATTTGTGGGGTGAGTAAACAGTTGTATTCATTGAAACTTTACTTATGCTAGGCATGGCTCTAAGCACTTTATGAGTATTAAGATCTCAGAGCGTTCGTATGAGAAAGACTTTTTAGCAGATGTGGAAATTGGGGCAAAGGGGGCAATTAGTGAATGTCCCCTGTTGCCCCACTGGCTAGTGACACAGCAGGGATGAAGAGACAAGCGCTGGCCCACCCTTTCTCCTCCCTAACTGTAGCTACATTGCTTGGGCTAGAACTAGTAAACCAAAGACCCAGAAGCCAATCTGGGTCTTTGAATCTCTTTCTGATGCAAACTAGGTACTCACCGAGAGGTGGCTGAATTTGTTATTTAAATTATTATTTCTCTGAGAATAAAAATAGAAAGGCTGTTAAAGAAGCCCTGTAATCTAATGGAAAAGCAAGCAGTTATAAAGTTACAGACCCTCTCAGGGTTCTATTTCTTTTTTTTCTTTTTCCCTTAAGTAAATCACTCCACTTTTATAGCTTCTTGTTTTCCCGTCTATCAAAATTGGGAAAATACTTTTTCCTACATCCTTTTCAGGAGGGCATTCAAAGGGCAAAATGTGCTAGAGGAAAATGTAAGGCGTAAATATTGATAATGACAAAACTAATTTTACAAGTTTGAGGCATTGTTTTCAATTTATTATTCTCGTTTTCATCAAAGACCTCTGTTAGGATAGGGATTGTTAGCTCCATCAAAATGAGGAAAGCAAGGCCAGGAAACATCGGATCACCAGCCAAAGATCACAGAGTTGACAAATACTAGAACTGGGGCCAGAACCAATCCATTTTTACACTGGGCCAAGTGTAACAGTGTAACGAGAATTGTGGGAAATGGGGTGTCACTGCAGATGTGCTCTGGGAAGTAACTGGGCCAGGGAACAGATATGCACACATTGAACCATAGAACCAGGCAGGATGCCCCCCAGGAAAGATGAGAGAGCAAGTTTCCCAGAGCTATGGAAGGCCATGCACAGGACAAGAGAGATAGGAGGAGAGGATCCCAGGTAAAGGCCATGGGCAATATGGTTTAAGGAATGTTCCAGAAGGGGTTTGAGAGTGCTCCTTGTGCTGGAGTTGAGATGCTGGCAGAGACAGGAGGGAAAGGGGGTGTTGGGATCTTAAGGTTTTCTTAGTGGAAAGAACTAGGGCATTGGAGGTAGAGAGTCCCAGGTTCAAATCCTGAAGCGGCCTTTTTTGTTTCTGAATCTCTATTTCTTCCTTGGTTTGGTTGACTTGAGATTGGAAAGGGGCAATGTCTGAGAGCTCCCAGCTCAGAGCCTGGCACATAGAGCTTGATCCTCACCCATGAACAGTTCCTGCTCTGATTCTTCCGAGGATGGGCTAGACAGGGAGAGAGATGAGGCAGACACAGGAGAGGAGAAGCTCAGAGATGCCCTATTGCGAATTCCTTAGCAATGTGAGACGCAGAACCATTTTCCCCTCAAGGTTTTGCTAAAGTGCGGAAGTATCTCAATAGCTCGTGCAGGGACTTTCAGGCTCCAGTGTCGATTTGTGTGGGTTTTATACAAAGAACTGTCTCACAGCCAGGCCTGTAACTGTGGAAACGCTGCAATGATCTCCCTCACAGGGCTGATGCCTTCCACCTCTCCAATCACCTTTCAAGTGTGTCTTTGAGGCCTCTCTTCTCTTCCCAGATTGTTCAGAAAAGTCTTGTGTGTCTAGATAATCGCCTTCCTGGGATCCGCTGACCGGCAGCATGCAGCCTCGCCAACAGGACCATGCTTCCTCCATAATCAGGCTTTCGACATAGAAAGGCCAGCTTTAATGCTGTTTTTATTTTCTTTGTGATCTATAGTTTAAGAAACAGATTCATTCAAGGGGCAACAGGCAACTACTAACAATTAGACGGAGGGAAATAATTGCTTTTTAATATATTATGTATCGCCTGTTCAATTCTAACATCTTTCTTGTCTGACTCATAACTTCAACACACTAGAAGGCTCCTATTTACTCACCGTTGTATTAATATAGGCAGTAAAAGTGTATTGATACTAGTAGCAATGACAGGCATTCTTTAAGAAATTGTTCTTCTGTTGTAGACATTTTCCTTACTATTCTGCTTCAAACCTTTTCTTTTGTCTGTGTCAAGTCATTTCAGTGTGGTAGAAAATAACCTCTTGCTGGGCTCAAACACAGCTCTTAATAAACAGCATTTCCATTCTAGTATGTTCTGGGATGTGTGTTTGATCACGGGCCTGCATGTCTATCCATTGAGGGGAGGCGACTTTGTTGGGGTCGAATTGAGACCTGAATATGCATGTCATTGGCTTTACTGAACACCCCCCGCACTGCTTTGGAATTGAAAACCCTGCAAGGGCTGGCTGAGGTGGGGATGGCTGCTCAGGTCTTGTGTCCCCGTGGCAATGCGTATCCTTGCTCTGCCATTTTCAAAGTGCTCACGACTGCCCTCAGGCCAGGTATCACATGCTTACGCAAGACCAGAGCTTCTGCTACTCGCCATGGTGACTGGTGAGGAGTCATCACTTTGCCCCATGGGCCATGGTCACCATTGGCAGAGTCATCCACTCCAATCCATACGAATCTCAAAAAGATCCCTTGTGCCTGTGCAAAAGTATCTGCAATATTTGCATGTTTCCCAGGCAAAGAATCCTTAAACCCGAAAGGAAACATACAAATCAGCAGCCACAAACTGTGTACCAGGAACAAACACTGACTTCAGATTTGTGTGACCTACATGTGTTTTGTTTATAAGTTTTAATTTGTTATCCACACTTAAGCATCAGAAGAGTTAGTATTAAAATACGAATTTCTCTTTCTCTGGAGAAATCGGCTCTGGCCACCTTGGTCCCTTGCCCCGTGGTCACAGTTAAGTGGGGTTGAGTGACAGCTGTCCTGATGAGTGAACTTGAGCACTCCAGTTCACCAAAGTCCCCAGGGGTTCCCTGTGGCTTTATACTCAGTACGTTCCCTGAGTATAAAGAACAAAGTTCCTTATGTTACCTATCTGGCTCCATAGGCATTTACAACATTTAAGAAAATCTATTTAATTTTTGGCTATGAAACTGATGCGTGTGGAAGGAACTACAAATAGTATAAAAGAAATAAATAGTGAAAAAGAAGAAAAGAAGGTGCCCTCTCACCCTGACCTGCAGTCTCCCAGGATAGTCACTGTTCTCTGTGTCCTGTGTCTCTTTCTAGAGATACAAGATGAATATGTATGCGTAATATATCATCACCCTTTTAAAATACATGAATGCACACAACATTTTGCCATTTTACATAATATATTTTAGGCATCATACCTTATCCTTACACAGAGACCTGTCTTATTCTTTTCAAAGGCTGCATAGTATTCCTTCATGTGGATGCACCATAATCTATGTCACCAATTTTCTACTGATAAACATTTAGGTTGTTTCTAGTTCTTTGCTATCACAAACAGTGCTAATATGAATTCCTTGTGCCTGCTTATCTGTACAAATGTGTGGATGCATCTAGAAGAAAGATTCTTAGAAGTGGAACTGCTGGATCAAAGAGAATGTAGCCTTTCAAATTGTGATAGATATTGCCAAATGGCCACATAAGTGCTTGTGCTAATAGATAGTTCTATTCACAATGAATAAAAATGTCTCCTAGATCTAGGATCTGATATGATGCAATCCCCTGGACAAGTGAGGAAACTGAAGTCTAGAGAGGAGAAGTGATAAGGCATGTAAATAGCACAGCACAGACTTGAGCAGGACTAAAGATGCCATTCGCCACCTCCTTTCCACCATGCTCCAGCTGTTCTGTTTTCCAGCTTCCCTGTGTAGGCAACTAAACCAAGGGGCCCTGGGATTAGCTCTGGGGTTCAGCAACTGGACCCCAACCAGCTTTGGGGGAGCAGATGTTCTGTTAACAAACACTTCCATCATGACTGGCACACGCTGTCACCTTGGTGGGCTAGCTCAGCAGTGAAGGCCAAAGATTAAATGGACCATGGAAGCTGAATTACCAACCCAGCCCTTGGTGGTTTTTAAATTATAGATTTTTAAACAAAGCTAAATATAGAGCAATTAAGAAATGGCTCCACGTTCTACTCCAAAGAACAAAACAGCTGAACTGGAGCTAAACACAGCACATGCATATGCATGTGAAATAGGCGAGGAACAGAGGGAGCTGGTTAGAGTAAAATCCAAACTCCTTCCTGCGGTTCTCCCAGCATAGCCCCCATACTCCTGCCTCAGGGCCTTGGTACATGCCGTTCCCACTGCCTGATACACCTCCCCCATTTTATTCTTCTCATAGCTGGCTCTTTCTCTTCCTTTAGAATAGAGACATTCTTAAATTCTTCCCATTCTTCCAATTCCTACCTCAGTCTAATATTCTCCTTCCTTCTATCCTACATGACAACTGGCCATTTTCTCATTGATTTACTTTTTTTTTTCCTGATTCCCCCACTAGTGCCAAAATCCCCATTTTTTCATCTGCACCATTAAAATGACATTTCCATCCCACCTGTTGCTGTGAGGACAAATAAATCATTCTGAGCCAACCCACCCTCAGCGATCACCTCTCCTTTGAACTCAGTAGCGTTTCTAGTCTGTGGCATGAAATTGAAATCTTTATTGTATAGTACAGGGGTTCTGAAAGTATAGCACATAGACCACAGTGAGTAAAACTGATGCTGTTATATGTGGGACATGGAGAAACTCGTAAAATATCTTTTCATTGTAGCTACTCCCTAGCAACACCCTAGTCTACAGCACTGTAACTTCTGTGATTATTGCATCACTTCTGCTTCCTCATTGGCCTTCCTACCTTGCATCCTACAATGTATTCTGCACTCAGGAGCCAGAGTCAGAGGGGCTCTGTTAAACAAGTCTGGTCATCCCACTCCTCTGCTCAGGAATCTTCTGTGGTTCCCAAGTCTCTCACAGAAATATCCTAAGTCTTTACAATGATCTATAGGACCCTGAACAGTTGGGCCCCACCCCACCCTTCTTGTCCCTCATCTATGGCCTTCCCCATGTTTGCTCACCTCTAAGCACATGGATGTCTTCAAACATGCCAGGCACATCTTCACTATAGTGCCAGTGCCCTTTCTGTCCCTCTGCATGGAACCTTTTTTTTGTTTTTGAGACAGGGTCTCACTCTGTTGCCCAGGCTGGGGTGCAATGTTACAATCATAGCTTACTGCAGCCTTGACCTCCTGGGCTCAAGTGATCCTCCTGCCTCAGCCTCTTGGGTAGCTGGGACTACAGGCATGTGCTACCATGCCTAGATAATTAAAAAAATTTTTTGTGTGTGTGGAGGTGATGTCCCAGTATGTACCCCAGGCTGGTCTTGAACTTCTGACCTCAAGCAATCCTCCCACCTTGGCCTCCCTATGTGCTGAGATTACAGGCATGAGCCACTGTGCCCAGCCTGAACGTTTTACTCCCAGTTATCTGTATGACTTGAGTCCTCATCTCCTTCAAATCTTCATTCAACAATCAACTTCTCAGCATGTCCTTCCCCAACTACCTTCTTTAAAATTGCTACCCACTCACCCCACTTCCTGTCCCTTTCATCTACTTCATTTTTCTTCAAAGCACTTTCCACCTTTCAATGTTCCATATATCTTCCTTCCTTCTCTTCTGTATTGTCCCTCTTCCCTTCTAGACCATAAGCTCCAGGAAGGCAGGGATTTTTCTGTTTTTCATAGCTGTATTTCTCACATCCAGAACAGTACCTTGGTAGGAGCTCAATTATTAACGTCAAATGAAAAGATAAATTTGGATTATTGAGAGTGTATTAGTCATGATGCTCCAGAGAAACAGGACCACATGGATATATAGAGGCATACAAAAAGATTGATTATGAGGGATTGGCGAACACAACTGCAAAAGCTGAGAAGTCCCATGATCTACTTTCTGAAAGCTGAAAGCTAATGGTGTAGCTCCAGTTCAAACCCAAAGTCCTGAGACCCAGGACAGCCAGTAGTGTAAGTCCCAGTCCAGGTCTGAAGGACTGAGATCCAGGAGTGCCAAAGTCCAGGAGCAGGAGGAGATGGATGTTCCAGCTGAAACAGAGAGCAAATCCACCCTTCCTGGGCCTTTTTGTTCTGTTTGGGCCCTCAACAGATTGAATGATATCCATGCACATTGGTGAGGACAGCTCCACTTTACTCAGTCTATAACTGAAATGCTAATCTCTTCTGGAAACACCCTCACAGTCATTCCCAAGAATAATATTTTAGCAGCTATCTGGGCATTCCTTAGCCCAGTCAAGTTGACACATGAAATTAGCTATCACAAAGAGTAAGCAACAGAAACTGACTCTTCAGAGAGTAAACAGAAGATATTAGTTACCTGGAAGGTTGCTGGGACTTAGAGCCTCAACCAGATCCAGAAAGAGCAGACTGAGAACAAGCAGATACCCAGCAATTCCAGGAGAGCTGCACTGAAAAACCCTCCCAGAGCTTCCTGGCACAGCTGATGGAAGAGCTTGACACATCACTACTTGTGACAACTGATCTTCTTGTGTCCTAGAACTGTATGCTCAAGATTCAGAGCCTGGGAGCTGTGCCTGACTACGTCGGTCTAATTGTACTCACCATTATCATGGCCCAGGGAGGGACAGAAAAGGTGGATTTGGCCTGTTGAGCTTCCACACAATGGGGCATCCCCCAAAAGAAAGATTCTGATGCTTTTAGGAAGGAAAGTGTTGGATACTGTACAGTAAAAATAAATAATAACTTTAAATATTGACCTTCTTTATGTTATTTTCTATGTATAACAAGTATAATTTTCAAGAGTGTGGTCTCTGAAAGAGAGAAAAAGATTAAAAATCTCAACATGGGGAAGT